AAAATAACAATTCGGAAGGGAAAATAGTGGAATTTGAGGTTGACACTGAAACAAGCTTTCCGGATTGTGGTATAATTGCGATTCCGATAGCCGTAGCTAAAGTTATGGCCAAACTACCGAAATACGACTAAATTACCAAAGTTACGCGATCACTTGCCATCATTGCGCCGATCTACTAACTCGTGATACTTTAGAGTCATTAATGTGTTATCTGACAACTCAACATCTGATTCAGACCCTCCTGCATCAAGAAGTTGCACCAACTGTAAATTACATGAGACGAGTCATTTTTTGTAACAATGAAGTGGAGGGAGGAACTTGATGCAACTAGAGTCGGTAAAAAAAGGATAGTGGTTCAAATCGTGGGGTCCTGAGGCCTTTGATGTTGAAGTGGAGAGTAAAGGTGGTGGCAGCTGGATTCGGTACTGATAAGCTAAGTAAAAATAAAAGTGAATTATTTGGTAAAAATAACAAACATAGATCATGGGGAAAGAATGAGATTCGAGACTTGAAAGAAGTTAGGAGGCAAAATTTAGAAAGAAAAAACATGTGTAGTAGGGAAACATGAAAAAAAAAAATCAATAAAAATAAAAATCAAATATTTAGCTGATCACTCATGAATCCATGTAAAACAAATTATGCATTATTATTCTCACAAAAAGTCATCAAACAAATTAAGTGGACGAGTGTAGTTTTGCGGAAAAAAAAAATTTATGCATTATTATTCTACAAGTGAATGAATGTATGTATTTGTATGCGTACATACAAGGGCATGACCAGTAATTTTTTGTATTTCCTTTCACAAAAAGTTAGTCCTCATTTCTCGACTACATACGTCCATTAACATGATTGTTTGTTGAGTATTTCTAGACAAAAAAATATGCCTTATTATTTTTCGATTAAGTCGATTAGTGTATTTATGTTCACGCGTACATTCAAGTGCCTAAGCAGTAACACTTATAGTTTCTTTTACAAAATGTTACGTGTTGTCATCATACAATTAGCTCGTCAAGTATGCACATGTTCCTGGCATGTGTGTCGCTAGGCAAAAAGTAGTTTACTATCATTCTAAGACTAAGTCGACGTGCTTACACATGCATTAGCAATGCACGTTTGTTGTTTGACAAAAAATATATGCATCATCGTTTTACGACTAATTAGATAAGGATATTCATGTGATGATGTTTGTTTGTTGTTTGATAAAAACTTGAGCATTCCTTCTATGACAAGTAGATGAGTATATAATGCATTTGTTGTTTAACGAACAAAAAAATGTGCTTCATCATTATATGATTAAGCAACGAATATACATGCATGCACAACTTATATTACATGTTCATCTTTTTAATAATTATACATAATCATACGGTACTATACAATTATATATTTTATATCTTAAGATAACTTTACATATATAATATTTTTAAGATTTACAAGGGTAGTACCACCATATATGAAAATTCAGCCTTAATTAACATCAAGCTCCAAACCATATTTTTTGAGTTTAATGGTTCTATTATGTTTTTAACTACTTATTGTTGGTAAAAATAATAATTTATGATATTTGTAATCAAGGTTGACATACCTAGCTGTGGCAATGGGCCAAGTTGAGCCGGCTCAGCTCGTGCTCATCGCGAACCAAGCAGAAGCTCAGTTCGGCCCACTAGCTCGGTTTATTTATTAATTTTGTTTTTTAGATATACATTTTTCTAAACCTTTTTTTTTGATAAACCTTTTTAAAAAAAAAAAAAAAAGATAAACCATCATCCTTTATT